CTTTCCCATTTCAAAGCTACTCAAGGTAGAAGGCTTAACAAGTCCCAACAAAATCTGTTGGACGTTTATAAGGCTTTACTGGGAGCCAGAGGCTTTTCACATGGACTCAACGGCTAGTATTGTACTGATGCTGTAACCTGCCTTGAGTACTCCAGGGGAAAGGCAGGCTAGCAGTTCGGGAAACGAATCATCCTTAAAGGGTTAACACACGACCACTTCATGAATTTGACAGGAGATCGAACTAAGAGAGATGCTGACATTCTAACCACCCCCTAACTCAGACATGATGTCCCAACCATGCAGCTATGATATGAAGAATCAAGACATGACCTGCAACTTTCTGCACACACAGATTCCTTCCTCCATTTTCTGGTTTCCTCTAACCATTAGATCCAGATTAGGAAAACTGGATTTTAGGCTAACCTACAAACCGTGAAGTGAAATTGTGGCTTGCAAATGACAGGTTGGCAGGAAACACTAAATGCAGTTTGGCACAACACTGGAACTGGATAACTATGGCTAGAGGAAATACAGGACAGGTTTGGGGAGTAAGAGCGAACAAGGGGAAGGGAAGAGGGGGTTGTGAGCTTATAGCACGTCCTTAATTGAGCCCAGTGTTCCCTCTAAGCTGAGTTAGTGTGAGCTAGCTCACAGTTTTTTAGCCTCCAGCTCACACATTTCTGTCTTAGCTCAGGAAGGAGGGCTCCAAAGCAAACTAATTTATGCAGTAGCCAAATCCTTTGCTCACAACTTTAATGCCAGTAGCTTACAAAGTAGAATTTTTGCTCACAAGACTCTACAGCTTAGAGGGAGCACTGATTGAGTCTCTGAATTCGAGCCAATAATACAGGTCTTTTCTTCTCTCTTCAGAGCGTTACACAAGGATCTTCTACGTCCCCATGCAAACAATGCTTTCTCCTGCAAACACACCTGTATCTATATATACACACATAGACACAGGTGTGGTTAAAGGGAATTGTTTTATTAAAATACCAGATACCTGCAAAAATAATTCCAACATCCTACCCAAGTGGAACAAAGTATGCACATTCTACCTTTGTGCTCCATTTTCTGCATTGCTTATACAGAATGTCATGTCTTAGACCTTTTAGTTTTCTTTTGCACTGTGATCTAAATTCGTCATCCTATTCCCATTGCACTGGGTGTCTTATGCTATCTGATTTTATTTTATTTTTTCATAATCCACCTCGCGTCTCCACAAGAAAGGCAGGCTATAAATAACAGAAGTAAAATGGAAAGAAGTTATTTGCATGCAGCTGCTTATAGCTGCATTATTTTATTTTTTAGGCAGTTTTGCATACTTTTTAATCTGGAGGTCACAATGAAAATATCTATAATAGGTGGTAATCACGGGCACCACAGTTTTGCCACTTGGCCACTGTTATGTATTGTATCTAAAACATTTTAATGCTGTCTTTCCACCCAATAAGGGTCCCCAAGGCAGACTTTTCACATTAAGTATTGACTATCAGCCTATCCATGGGTTTCCCTCTGCAACCATGACATCTAGAAACATTTTTTAAAAACAATCCATTACAGATGCTCTATTACATCCTTGTGCGAGTGCTCACATGCGCCATATGAAATAATGCAGTCCTATAATTAAATAAGCACTTCCAAACATTCACCCTTTTATAGTATGAGGCTTCTGTAGATATTTGTAGCACCCGGTAACATCTGGATCACACACTGACCATTTGTTTCCAGGTCAGGTAATCATCCTCATCTTCAAAAGATACCAGAAACCCATAATCTTACTAACATACAACAGGAGCTCCAAAACTACCTGAGTCCATTTCTTATCAAGTCTTCTAAAAGGACATCAATGCAGTCTCCGAAAGATATTGCAGACAAAAAAAGAAGGGCTTTAAATATAAAACTAAAACCTCTGTAAGGTTGGTTGGGAGAAAGAAGAGAAGAATCAAGATTGAAGGGAGGAAGAGAATGAGTTTCTCACACAAGTTTATCGATGGATGCAATGAAAATTTTATTTCACAATGGATTTTAAGATCATTTGATGAGAGACAATCGGAGCTTCAAATGAGATGAGACAGGCCGTTATCTTTTCAGGGTCTAAAGGGAGTAAAAATATTGAAGCAAGGCACAATTTCTGTATTTCTTTTTGCTGTTCAAAATGGTTCACCGCATTTTATGTTTCAATAAGAATTCATGTGTGGTTTTGCCCATCATGCTGATGGAGACAATGTTAATAAACACAGGTTCTCCCTGGTTTATTTCTTTGGAAAGAGAAGGATGCCCACAAACTGAAAGCTTGCTTGAGATACTTCCCTAGGTAGCACTGGGGGGACAAAACAGAGCCTGAGATTTCATGAAAATAAGAAAGCACGTCATTGACAGAAACCACATCCAAGCTTATGGAAACGGAAGGAAGGAAGGAAGGAAGGAAGGAAGGAAGGAAGGAAGGAAGGAAGGAAGGAAGGAAGGAAGGAACCTTGTATCTGCACATTCATATATTCTGTTTAGCAACCTGACACTTTTATAAATGTTTTCGACTGTCTCCATCCCAGCAATGCCTTGCTTTTCTTTCAGTGTGATTTAAAATTTGTGGCTGCAGAAGTGGAAACTAAGCTTTCAGAACACCTCCAAGAGGCCTACTTAAGTAAAAATTGGCACAACCAAACCTAATAAATCTTAAATCCTAAAATTGTATCACACTGATCAAGCATAAATGTCTAAAGCTGTTGCTGTTTTAGCATCCAAACCCTGCATTTCCCTGTACGCCTTTGACCACACTACTAAGAGAAACTTCTGCAATTACGATCTTGTACCCTCTCTCTTGACAAAGACAGGAATTTACAGCATTGCTTGGCTCCCCTATCGTATAACAAACATCCAAGTAGTCTTTATAGGCTTACAGAAAACATGAAGGACAAGTTTCCACTTCGAGGAATTTAACCATACAGTTCAGTAGGCAGGCAAGGAGTGTGTCAGACATAGGAGATCACAAGGAAGCAAGCAGAGTAGGTGGGAAAAGAAAAGCACCCACCACCCCAATATGAATATAGACAGAATCGCATACCAAGAAAATACCTTTTCTTCCATTTTCTCTTCTCCTTTTTGCCCCTCCCATCTCCTCAAAACATTTCCATCTCCTCAAACCATTTTGGCTAAACATATATGGCGCAAATTTATTTTATGCTACATAGGGCTGCCAAGTGGGGGTGGGGGGCGGGTAAACCCCCGCTTTGGAGGCCCGATTTCTGACGCCGTGGAATCGGGCCCCGGGGGGAACCCCACCCCTACATGCGCATCACCAGGAAGTGACGTGGGCACGCCGGGCACGCTGGGGGCAGTGGCCGTGGCCCTGCCCCAGAGTGCCTGGCGTCCTCCAGTCACTTCCGGGTGATGTGTGCGCGCACACAAGACGCCGGCCGGGAGCCCCCCACTCCCGGCAAAGATACACTTGGCAACCCTAATGCTACATCAGTGTCTGAAGCTGCCTTATACAGTTCAGGCCACTGGTCCATCTAGCTCTCCTGGGTCTCTCTCAATAGATAACTCCAGGCGGGTAGCCATGTTGGACTGAAGTAACAGAGCAAAGTTTGAGTCCAGTGGCACCTTTAAGACCAGCCAAGTTTAATTCTGGGTATAAGGCTTTCGCGTGCATACACACGGACAAAAGCTTATACCCAGAATTAAACTTTGTTGGTCTTGAAGGTGCCACGGGACACAAACGTTGCTCAGCAGACCAAGGCTTGGATCCCATGGCAAATTACTGCTAACGGGCAGGGATCCACTGATTCTGAATCTTACCTTAAACTCCACCACTACCACCCCCGTTCCTGGAAAACCCGTTTGTCAGTAGAGGTTTACTGCGGGGTCTATCAGGACTCCTACTGACCAGCACATGATCATCCTCCTGAACATGTGGAACAGTAAAGTCATCCACAAACCTATCAGTGAAGGAGTGCTTTAAATACCAACGGTGATCACCAAGAGGCATGACTGCAATTCACAATGTACGCCTTCATGTTTGTTTTCCCTTCTCTCCCCCCCCCCGCCCTCTTAACTGAACACACAGAGCTGGGGAAACCAGAAAAGCCCCCAGCCACAAACAACCGAGTTGCCCAGATGACTTTTCAGGATACATCTTTTTACGGATGCCAGCTCTAATATGGCGACAAACAAACTGTGAACAAGGTACCTCCTAGAGAAGAGACACGTACACACACAAAGACATTACTGAACTGTTCACAAAAATGGCTGAATAACATGTTGGTCTTATTTTACACTTCGTTCTACGCACTTTTGTTCATTTCTGTTGAATATTTTTCTTTAACAGTATGATTTAAATGCTAGAACGGTTCAGTCGCAGGGACGCTGCCTTGTACCCTGTGAGATCAGGACTCCCTTGAATTCTCCTCTCACTGAAACACACTAAGTACATACCAGTTTTGCTCATGGGGAGCAGAGGACCTTCATGAACAATTTAGCAGGGCAAAGTGGGATGGTCTCCCTACTCCCAAATCCCTCAAACTGAGATAATTCTCTCCAGGGGGTCGTTTCATAGAAAAAGAGCTAGGGGAACTCATTAGCATAACTCATTAGCATATGCCACACCCCCTGACATCACCGGAAGTGTGTCTTGAGGCCACACCCCCTGACATCACCGGAAGTGTGTCATAAGGCCACACCCACCACTCAGTTAGTCTTATTCTTAAAGGTTAGTCTTAAA